TCCCTGATGGATTAAAGTACCCTGGTCCTGCTCCTACATTTAAGAACATAAGAACATAAGAGACGCCAATGTTGGATCAGGCCAAAGGCCCATCCAGTCCAACACTCTGTGTCACACAGTGGCCAGAAATACCAGTGCCATCAGGAGGTCCAGCAGTGGGGCCAGGACATTAGAAGCCCTCCCACTGTTGACCCCCCCCCCAAGCACCAAGAAGACAGAGCATCACTTGCCCCAGAGCCCCTAGCTATACCTTGTGGCTAATAGCCACTGATGGACCTCTGCTCCATATGCTTATCTAATTCCCTTTTGAAGCTGTCCATGCTTGTAGCCGCCACCACTTCCTGTGGCAGTGAATTCCATGTGTTAATCACTCTTTGGGTGAAGAAGTACTTCCTTTTATCCGTTCTAACCCGACCGCTCTGCAGTTTCATGGAGTGCCCACGAGTTCTTGTATTGTGAGAAAGGGAGAAAAGTACCTCTTTCTTTACCTGCTCTTTCCCATGCATAATCTTATAAACCTCGATCATGTCACCCCTCAGTCGTCTTTTCTCCAAGCTAAAGAGCCCTAAGCGCTTTAACCTTTCCTCATAGGGAAAGTGTTCCAACCCTTTTATCATTTGAGTTGCCCTTTTCTGCACTTTTTCCAAAGCTATAATATCTTTTTTAAGGTGTGGTGCCCAGAACTGCACACAGTATTCCAAATGAGGTCTCACCATTGATTTATATAGGGGCATTATTATATTGGCTGATCTGTTTTCAATACCCTTCCTAATAATCCCCAGCATAGCATTGGCCTTCTTTATTGCAGTCACACACTGTCTCGACATTTTCAGTGAGTTATCCACTACAACTCCAAGATCTCTCTCTTGATCAGACTCTGCCAGTTCAGACCCCATCAACGTGTATTTATAGTTAGGATTTTTGGCTCCAATGTGCATCACCTTGCACTTGGCCACATTGAACCACATTTGCCATGTTGACGCCCACCTGCCCATCCTTGACAGATCCCCTTGGAGTACCTCTTGGTCCCCAGGATCTGGCCTCCCAGTTTGATCTTGAGCTTCAGCTGAGGCTTTGGGAGGGCAGGGCCCACGTCCCCTGCGGTCCCCCCGATGTCCTCGCGGTGATGCTTCTTCTTGTGCTTTTTCTTATGTTTCTTATGCTTCTTCTTGTGAGACCCGTGGCCGTTGGATTCATCGTCCTCGCCTGCAGCAGGGAAGCGGAAACAAACAGGGTCTACCGAAAAGGCCAGGGGCTAGAGTCCCCCAGGCGTGAGACGATGCACAAGCAACAGCCACAACAGGAAGGAGGGAAGGAGGACTGACAGGCAAAAACAATCCAAGGGCAGTTCAGTGCAACAGCATGGTGCAGCTAGATCCAGGTGGGGTCGCCATGCCGGTCCGAAGCAGCAGAACAAAGTTTGAGTCCAGTGGCACCTTGAAGACCAACAAAGTTTTATTCTGGGTATAAGTTTTTGTGTGCACACTGGGAGACTCAGGTTCAAATACTCGTTTTATGATAAGCCTTGCTGGGTGAGAGTACACGACTGGCCCAAGGCAAGTCACACTTTCTTGGCCTTGCCTACCTCAAAGGGTTGCTGTGACGATAAAACTGTCATGCCTACCTCACAGAGCTGTTGTGAGGATAAAACTGAGAAAGAGAAAAGTAATGCCTACCTCACAGGGCTGTTGTGAGGGTAAAACTGAGAAAGGAAAAACTCACAGGGCTGTCATGAGGATAAAAGTGAGAAAGGGAAAACTCTGTAATGCCTACCTCGCAGGGATGTTGTGAGGATAAAACTGAGAAAGGGAAAGTTCTGTAATGCCTACCTCACAGGGTTGTTGTGAGGATAAAACTGAGAAAGAGAAAAGTAATGCCTACCTCACAGGGCTGCTGTGAGGGTAAAACTGAGAAAGGAAAAACTCACAGGGCTGTCATGAGGATAAAAGTGAGAAAGGGAAAACTCTGTAATGCCTACCTCGCAGGGATGTTGTGAGGATAAAACTGAGAAAGGGAAAGTTCTGTAATGCCTACCTCACAGGGTTGTTGTGAGGATAAAACTAAGAAAGGGAAAAATCAGAGCTGTCGTGAGGATAAAACTGAGAAAGGGAAAATTCACAGAGCTGTCATGAGGATAAAACTGAGAAAGAGAAAAGTGTGTAACGCCTACCACACAGGGCTGTCGTGAGGATAAAACTGAGAAAGTTATAACAAACGCCTACCACGCAGGGTGTCATGAGGATAAAATTGAAGAAGAGATTGGATTCATATCCTGCCCTTCACTCAGAGTCTCAGAGCAGCTTACAAACTCTTTTCCCTTCCCCTCCCTACAACAGACACCCTGTGAAGTCGGTGGGGCTGAGAGAGCTCTCTCGAAAACCACCCTTGAGAGAACAGCTCTGACAGAACTATGGCTTGCCCAAGGTTATCCAGCAGCTGCAAGTGGAGGACTGGGGGATCAAACCCGGTTCTCCCAGACTAGAGTCCGCGCACTTAACTCACTGCGCCAAACTAGAAAGAGAAAAGTCTGTAACGCCTCCCCTGCAGAGCTGTCATGAAGATAAAACTAAGGAAGGGAAAAACCCTGCAGTGCCTACCTCGCAGGGCTGTCGTGAGGACAAAACTGAGAAAGGGGAAACACTGTTACACCAGTCTGAGCTCCTAGGAGGGACAGCATGATTAAGAGGCAATGATATAAAGTAGTGTTGCCAGACTCCAGGCGGTGCCTGGGGACCTCCCGCTTTTCCCACTGACCTCCAACTGGCAGAGATCAGCTCCCCCGGAGGGAATGGCTGCTTTGAAGGAGGGGGAGGGAGAGACTCTCTGGCGTTCGACCCTCCTGAGGCCCCTCCCCTCCCCAAACCCCGCCCTCTCCCGGCTCCACCCCCAAAGTCTCCAGGAATTTCCCAACCCGGACCTGGCAACCCTAACATAAAGGCATCACATATACAAGGGGCGAAGGCGCCAAGTCCAAAGGGCGCGGGCCCCTCACTCACCTCGCCCGGCGCCTTCCATCCTGAGGCCGCCGCTGCCGCCGCCCGCCTCGACCCTCCGCCACGCTTTACTCATAAAGGAATCTCCGGAGGGAGCCTGAAGCTCCGCGGGGGCCTCCTCTGGGGGAACCCCAATCGCGACGGACCAGCCCCGCCCCCTGACTTCCGCCCAGCGGCCCACACTGGACCAACGGCTCTACTGCGGGGGGCGGGACTTCCTGCTGGTCTGGCCGCCATTTTTTCCCCCTCCGGCCCAAGGAACCCCCTCCCACCCCGGCCTCAGAAGGCCGCGATCAACTCGGCCGCTGGGGCCCTTTTTAAAATACCTCCAAATAGCCCGAACAGTCGTCTTTCCCAGGCCCCTCAGGCCCCGGACCTGTTTGAAACGGAGAGCCCGAGCTAAACCGGAAGTTAGGCCCGGTGGTCGGCGAGGAGACGCTCTATCTAGCCCAACTCTGTGGTAGGAGCGGGCGGGGGGGCCGTGAAAGGAGCGAGAGCGATCAGCCGGGCTTGACAGAGCGCCGGAAGTGACGTCGGCGGAAGGAGCCGCCGTGCTCTGGCGTGTGTGGCTAAGAGGGCTCCGCTTCTAAGGGAGAAGGCGAGAGCCTGTGGAACTCCCGGCCTCCACCTTCCCGCTGGGCTTTGCGCTGGGAAGGAGTGCGGGGGGACGATACTGCGTAGTCACCCGGGGCCCGGAGTCTGATGCAGGTGAGACGAAGTCGTGTTGGGGTTGCCAACTCCGGGTTGGGAAACACCTGGGGATTTGGGGGAGGGGTGGAGCCTGGGGAGGGCGGGGCTTCAGTGGGACACGCCCCCTTCCAATGTGGCCACTCTCTCCAGGGGGATGGATCTCGGCCACGTGGGGATCAGTTTGCCACCCCGGGAGATCTCCCGCCGCCGCCTGGAGGCGAAAATCCAATCAAAAGAGTCAATAAAGAAATATATGCAAAGAATGTTTGCTGTGATAATAATGATTCCTGTAGAAAACGCTCTTCTTTTATGGGATGTTTATTGCAAGAGTTGATCAAGTAGAAATGTAAGTAATATATTTTTGAGTGTAATGGTTTGTCATAGAATCGTAGAATGTTAGAGTTGGAAGGAGACCTTGCAGGTCATCTAGTCCAGCCCCCCGCACTCTGAAGGAGCAGAGCCGAAAGAAAGCCCTACAACATACCCGAAAGAGGGTCGTCCAGCCTCCGCTCGAAAACGTCCAGCGAAGGAGCATCCACCACCTCCCGAGGCAGACTGTTCCACGGCTCAACCACTCTTACAGTTAGGAAGTTTCTCCTGATATTTAGCTGGTATCGACTCCCTTGTCATTTCCACCCATTAGATCTAGTCTTGCAGTCCGGAGCAAGAGAGAATAGATCTGCTCCATCTTCTACATGACAGCCCTTCAAATACTTATGATGAATTTATTTAGCTGCAATTGTAATTGAATGTGTATTTTCTCTTTTACAGTGATAAGCATTGTAATTGCTACATGCTCAGATAAAGCAATCTAGGTTAAATGAGTATTTTGTATTGCACAAATTCCATTTGTGAGCGATAAAAGAAGAGAGTTTTCTACAGAATCATTATTACAGCAAGCATTTTTGCATATATTTCTTTACTGACTCTATCATTTTTGTCACGGATGTTTTGACTGGACTTCCATCTCCTCCGTGATCTCTCACTTTTGGCTTCTACCACTTGGAGGTGGTCAGACTAAGTATACACCGTGAAGAATGACGAAAATTGCAATTTATATAGACAACTAAGTTTATGTAATGCAATTAATAGCTCAATTTCTTGGGACCGAAAATTCAACAGTCTTTTCGTGTCCCTTATAAAATGCTTCTACAGTCACATTCATTCAAAGAGAAGTCAGCTGACGACCTCCCAGATCACAGCAAGGGTGCTTGATGGTTAGAACACATGGAGTTTACTTGTTGAATGAATGAATGTTGTCTGTATTTAAATTTAATGTCTGTATAAATTGCAATTTTTGTCATTCTTCATGGTGTGTATACAACCCATCCTGTGATCTCTCTGCTTTTGTAACCGCCTGGAGGTTGGCCACTTTAATTAGTGCCACAAGCCCTGGGGAGCTGATCTCTGCCAAGCGCAAACATCATGCCATGGTTAGAGGGTCAGAGCAGGAGCTGAGGGGCACTGGTTCGAATTCTCACTTTGCCAGGGAAGCTCACTGGGTGACCTTGGGCCAGTCATCTACTCTCAGTCTGCCCTACTTCACAGGGTCGTTGTGAGGATCAAATGTGGAACCATGTATGGCTGACTGTGCTCACTGACTTTGGGCCAGTCATGTACTCTCAGCCTAACCTACCTCACAGGATTGTCATGAGGGTAAAATGTAGACTAATGTGTGGTGGACTGTGCTGGCTGACTGTGGGCCAGTCCTTGTATACTCTTAGACTAACCTACCTTCCAGGGTTGTTGTATGGATAAAATGGGGGAGAACAATACATAACATAAGAACATAAGAGACGCCAATGTTGGATCAGGCCAAAGGCCCATCCAGTCCAACACTCTGTGTCACACAGTGGCCAGAAATACCAGTGCCATCAGGAGGTCCAGCAGTGGGGCCAGGACATTAGAAGCCCTCCCACTGTTGACCCCCCCAAGCACCAAGAAGACAGAGCATCACTTGCCCCAGAGCCCCTAGCTATACCTTGTGGCTAATAGCCACTGATGGACCTCTGCTCCATATGCTTATCTAATTCCCTTTTGAAGCCATCCATGCTTGTAGCACCCACCACTTCCTGTGGCAGTGAATTCCAAGTGTTAATCACTCTTTGGGTGAAGAAGGACGTCCTAAAACCTCAATCATGTCTCCCCTCAGTCGTCATTTCTCCAAGCTAAAGAGCCCTAAGCGCCTTAACCTTTCCTCATAGGGAAAGTGTTCCAACCCTTTTATCATTTGAGTTGCCCTTTTCTGCACTTTTTCCAAAGCTATAATATCCTTTTTAAGGTGTGGTGACCAGAACTGCTTATATGGCTGCTTATGTGCCAGTTACACACTCTCAGCCTAACCTACCTAACCTGCCTACCTCACAAGGTCACTGTGAGGATAAAAAGAAGAAGAAGAAGAGATTGGATTTATACCCCGCCCTTCACTACCCGAAGGAGTCTCACAGCGGCTTACAATTTCCTTTCCCTTCCCCACAACAGACACCCTGTAAGGCAGGTGGGGCTGAGAGAGCTCTTCCCAGAACTGTCCTTGAGAGAACAGCTCGGACAGAACTATGGCTTGCCCAAGGTCATCCAGCAGCTGTGAGTGGAGGAGTGGGGAATCAAACCTGGTTCTCCCAGATTAGAGTCCACGTGCTTGACCACTACACCAGACTAGAGGAGAACAATGTATGCTGCATTGCCTTCTCCATTGAAAAGTATGATCTTGTCAGGCTCCTCAGTCAGGTCACACCACACAGGGCTTCATAAGAAAATAACTGTTTATTAGTGGTTCCAGTACTAAAGAACATGTGTACAGATTGTGTCAGGAATGGCTGTCAGTATTAGGGCCTCTTATAGTGAAATCAAACATTCCCCCTGGAAGCCTAAGCCAATAGGTATGTTTCATGTGCGCGGCAAAGCAAGCGGGCATAGCAAAAAAGCCGTTAACTTTCCTAGCCATGTAAACTGCAGCTGGAACTTCTACAAGGCCAAGCATAAGATAGCGCACAGTAGCTGAGCAGGGGAGAGCTGGGAACGAGAAGGAGGATACCCCTCCACATTCCAGATCTATGACAGGGCTACCTGACAGATCTAAAGGAAGGAAAACAAAAAATAAGACTAAATAAATCTAGGACAACCATTGTGCCTGCCGCCGAGGGTCCTCTGTACGCTTTCCTGCATCGAGCAACAGTTGAAACAAAAATATAAATGTGATAAGGGCACCTTTTGGGTAAGACAGCCCTAAGACTGCTTTTCGTTCCAGCTCTGCCCGCAGCATCATGGTGCCTTTCCGCATCCGCGAGTACCGAGACGAGGATTACGAGGCGGTCCGTGACCTGTTTGCCACGGGGATGAGCGAGTACGTGCCCACGTTGTGCGTCCACATGCTGAAGCAGCCATGGGTGATCCTCCTCCTGGCCTGCACCTTCTGCCTGCTGCTCACCAGCTCCAAATCCCTCCTCCTGCCCATCCTCGCCGTCACTCTGCTGCTGGCCATGGGGCGGCAGCTGCTGGGCTATGTCTGGTCCCGGTACATCGACCACTGCTTGCAAGAGGACCTGCTGGACATCCAGGCAACGTACATGCAAGTCAAAGGCTCCTGCTTCTGGGTGGCGGAGGCGGACGAGTGCGTGGTGGCCACGGTGGGGGCCCGGCCCTCCGAGGAGCACCGACAGGAGCTCATGCTAAAGCGCATGTCAGTCCGCAAGGATTATCGAGGCGTCGGCATCGCCAAGGCACTTTGCAAGACGGTCATCTCCTTCGCCCGGGAGCACGGCTACCGGTCGGTGGTGCTCAACACCTTAATGGTGCAGCACGAAGCCCGCGCCCTGTACAGCAGCGTCGGTTTCCGCGTGTACCACCACTACGTCTTGCCCACCTTCTACGGCAATTTGGCCAACTGCGTTGTCTCGAAGCATCGATACGACATTCCCTCTGTGGGCTGAGGAGGGAGCCGGAACCCGGATCGTGGCCGGTGACCAGACTTGGTGTTTCAACCTGTTGGTCCCTCAGGCAGCAGATTCCATGGAATGAAGAGAATGGGAACGAGCCACTTTTTGGTGTTGGGTACAAAGCTCCCTCTAAGCTGTGGAGTCTCGTGAGCAAAGATTCTACTTTGTGAGCTACCGGCATTGAGGTTGTGAGCAAGCAGTTTGGCTGCTGCAGAAGTTTAGTTTGCTCTGGAGCCCTCCTTCCTGAGCTGAGACAAAAATGAGTGAGCCGGAGGCTAAAGAACTGTGAGCTAGCTCATACTAACTCAGCTTAGAGGGAACACTGGTGAAGGAATACGTCTTAGTTTTTGTACACGGAGTGTTAATTTTCAGGCTGTTTAAAGGAGGCAATCAATGGGAATCTCGCCCTAAGGGAGTCTAGTAATGAAGGACGCTGAAACAGTATATATATTTTTATATTCCTTTTCTCTTCTGCTGTGTGCTTGCAGTACCTGGAGCCTCGATTTCGGCGAAGGTGTGAACATAAGAAGAGTTCTGCTGGATCAAACCAATAGTCCCTCTAGTCCAGAATCCTGTCTCACGCCGTGGCCAATCATTTTCTGTGTCAACAGGGCATAGAGGCCAAGGCCTTCCCCTGATGTTGCCTCCTGGCACTGGGATTCAGAGGATGACTGCCTCTGAACGTAGAGGTTCCCTTTGGTCACCAAGGCTAGTAGACACTGATAGACCCATCCTCTACTCCCCTTAGAAAGCTGTTTACTCTTGTGGCCATCACTACATCCTCTGGCAGCTAATTCCACATTTCAGTCCCTCTCTGCGTAAAGTAGTATTTCCTTTTGTCTGTCTTGAACCTACTGCCCATCGGCTTCATTGGATGCCTTTGAGTGTTCTGGTATTTGGGGAGAGGAGAAAAATGTCTCTTTGTCAGCTCTCTCCACTAATGCATAATTTTAGAAACTTCTATCATGTCCCCCCTTAGTTGTCTTTTTTTTTAAACTGAAAAGTCCCAGACGCTTCAGCCTTTCCTCACAGGGAAGGGGCTCCAGCCTCCCCTTTGTCTCGGCTGCCCTCCTCTGTACTTCTTCCAGCTCTGCAGTGTCCTTTTCGAGATACTGTGGCCAGAACTGTACACAGGATTCCAAATGAGGCTGCATCATAGACCTATACAGGGGCATTATGATATCGGTCGTTTTAGAGAGCCAGTTTGGTGGAGAGCCAGTTTGGTGTGGTGATTAAGTGTGCGGACTCTAATCTGGGAGACCTGCTCCCAGTAGCCCTCAGTTGGGCCACGAGGAGCAAGAAGCAGCCAGGTAAATTGCAGAGCCCCCCCCCCCAGCCCACCTTCAGGTACAAGGTCTCCCTCCTCTGCAAGGACAGATCTGCACGTCCCCACCCCCAACAGCTAGCAATCCAAAACAGTCCAGTGGAGCCTGAGCAGTGGGTGTTGCCTTTTGACACACTTCCGGTGATGTCATGGGGTGTGGCAGATGCAAATAAGTTATGCTAATGAGTTATGCTAATGAGCTCCTGCACCTCTTTTTCTACAAATGTCCCCTGCTGATAAGAGCTGTTCTTGAAAAAGAGCAGTTTCTGTCAAGAGCTCTCTCAGCCCCACCTACCGTCCAGGGTGTCTGTTTGTGGGGAGGGGAAGGAGTTTGGTAAGCCGCTCTGAGACTCCTTTAGGTACTGGAGGGCGGGGTATAAATCCAGTCTCCTCTTCTTTATTCTCCATCCCTTTCCTAGTCATCCCTAATATAGAGTTTGCCTTTTCCACCACTGCATCACACTGAGTTGACACTTTCATTGAGTTGTCCACCACAACCCCGGGATCCTTTTCCCTCTGTCTCAACAAGTTCAGACCCCATTAGCCCATCCTTGAAGTGTGGATTTTTTTGTCCCAGCACGCATCACCTTCCACTTACTGACATTGAACTCCGTTTGCTGTTCCTTTGGCTTAAAGGGAGGTTTTTGTTGGTGGATACAGCAAGCTTCTTAGCTACTCTGGGGCGCTCACCTCCAGCCTCACGGCCACAGTTCTAACCTTCTCAGCACCTTTGCCTCAGGGTTGCCTTTTTGTTTTTTGGAAGAGAGAGAAAAAGAGGATGGGTCTCGAAGTACTACGTGGCCGGTGAGTGGCTCGGAAGCCAGGATACCACGTTGCCAACATCAAAAAAGGTCTGTCTGCCTTCTCAGGTGGACTCTTCACATCCAGAGGCCTTTTCTTCCCCCCGTCTTGATGTACAAATGTCTTGTGTGTTTCCTTGGGGTGTGCAGGAGGCAGCTCTCAGCAGGCCAGTAGAACACACTGAAGAACGCGTGCCATCTTTCTGCTCTCCAGTTTGGTGTAGTGGTTAAGTGTGCGGACTCTAATCTGGGAGAACCGGGTTTGATTCCCCACTCCTCCACTTGCACCTGGCTGTTCTCTCAAGAGCAGTCCTCGAAGGAGCTCTCTCAGCCCCACGTACCTCACAGGGTGTCTGTTGTGGGGAAGGGAAAGGAGATTGTAAGCCACTCTGAGACTCCATGTGAAGGCCGGGGCATAAATCCAATCTCCTCCTCCTCCTCCTCCTCCTTCGTTTGGTGTGAGAGCCAGTTTGGTGTAGTGGTTAAGTGTGCGGACTCTAATCTGGGAGAACCGGGTTTGATTCCCCACTCCTCCACTTGCAGCTGCTGGATGACCTTGGGCAAGCCATAGTTCTGTCAGAGCTATTCTCACAAGGACAGTTCTGGAAAGAGCTCCCTCAGCCCCATCGACCTCACAGGGTGTCGTGGGGAAGGGAAGGGAAAGGAGTTTGTAAGCCACTCTGAGTGAAGGGCGGGGTATAAATCCAATCTCTTCTTCTCATCTTCTTGTACTGCAATTCATAAGCTCAGTTCAGACATAAAAGCAAACTGTGATTTGCCAGTAGGCAAGCCGTGCTCTCAAAATCCTTCCTCTCATTGTGAGCCTGCCATAGTTTGCCGTTACACCCAAAGCCGCTTTGGCTTTTGCTTGCCCTGTAAAACCAGTTTGCTCCTGTTCTGAAATCCTAGTTTGCAGTTTACACAGAAAAACTGATTTTATAAAAAGGGGAAGAGTCCAGTAGCCGCTTGTAGACTAACAAAATTTGTGGCAGGGGCTGAGCTTTCGTGAGTCGCCACCCGCTTCTTCAAACACAGCTAGATGGACTCACATTCTAGCCACGTCTGAAGAAGTTCCAGCCACAAATGGACCGCAGTGACTCAGCCAAGGTTGCACCCCACCAGTGTTCACTGTGCAAAAATGATTCTAGTCCAATGGTAGTCCACGAATTTGCTGCTTCTTTTTTGTTTGTTTGTTTATTTAATGTCATGCAGTGCTGCTGCTGCTTCCAACAATTGCCACGCGACTAAGAACTAGAGATGTGAAGACCCGGAAAAAAACTGGGGAAATTCGAGAAAAACCGTTTTTTCCCTGAAGCCTTTTTTTGTTTTTTTCTGAAAAATTGGAAAAGAAAATAAAAGAAAAAAAATTGATTATGGAACGTTATATTTTAACATGATGAATAAAATATTTTAAGACAAGGTGTTCAAATATTTTCCATATATATATAATCAGATTGATCTAATTTCTGTGCACTGAGGACAAGCAAATCCTAGGTTACAAACTGAACTCTCCAATGCAAGAACAAGATGCATTTCTTCCGTTAGGAGGTGCTACTGTCAGAAGAAAATAAAAAGGTTTCAGGGGGTTTTTTGCATGTGGGTGGGTATTCTGTTTGTAATAATCGTTTGGATACACTTTATTTTTAATATGCTAGTTGTGATCATTTCATGCCAAGTAAAAATGTCCATAGTCATCTTTTATGCTCCTAAAGTAACAGAATGACTTTCAATCTAGAAAAGACAAAAGAAATGCTAATGTAGCATTTTCTTTCAGTTTCCCCGAAAATTTCCGTTTCCCCCTGAAAAAAACCGGGGGGAAAATGATTTTTTTTCCGAGCTTCAAAATTTCTGAAAATCTCACATCTCTGCTAAGAGCAAATGAATAAGAGTTGTAACTCCATTGTAATTTATTTGTAAAACAGCTCCAAGTACAAAGTGACCTGACGAAGCCTTGAAGGAAACAGATTGTTCACCTGGGAAATCTGTAGTCGCGTGGCAACTGTTGGAAGCAGCAGCAGCCCTGCACGACATTAAATAAAGAAACAAAAAAAAGAAGCAAATTTGTGGACTGTAATTGGATGAGAATCATTTTTGCACAGTGATCATTGGTGGGTGCAACCGGGGTCTGAAGAGGTGGCCAGTGACTTTTTGCTGTTCTTCAGTCGCACAGTTGAGTCCGACTCTTCGCGACCCCATGGACCACATCACACCAGGCCCTCTTGTCTTCCGTCGTGCTCCGGAGTTTGCTGAATTTCATGTTCATTGCACCCTGCCACAAATTTTGTTAGTCTTTAAAGTTCTACTGGACTCTTTTCTCCTGCTGCAGACAGACCAACACGGCGACCCATCTTGATTTTATGAAGGCATGCGAAGGTGCCAATTGAGTCTTACCTCGTTTTGTAAAGAATCTCTGGACCCCATCTGAACGCAAAAGGTGAGGATCATGTTGCTTTCCCCACACCGATCACTGTAATTTTATTTGTATTAAAGCACAGCGCTATTGAATACACTTTGCAGGGCATCTGACTTTGTTTGTTACCTCATTGATACCCATAAGGACGTAAGAGGAAGCCCATGTTGGATCAGGGTTGTTGTATGGATAAAATGGGGGAGAACGATACATAACATAAGAACAGAAGAGACGCCAATGTTGGATCAGGCCAATGTCCCATCCAGTCCAACACTCTGGGTCGCACAAAACCTAGGTGCCATCAGGAGGTCCACCGGTGGTCCGTCGAGTTTACAAAGCAAGAGATGTCCAGAGACGGTTTGCCGTTGCTTGCCTCTGCCTTGCAACCTTGGACTTCCATTCTGGTCTCCCATTCAAGTACTGGCTGGAGCTGACCCTGCTTAACGTCCGAGATCTGATGAGATCAGTCCAGCTTGGGCCATCCAGGCGAGGGCAATAATTAACGACCATCAAGTCATGACAGACGTATGGCTTTTCAAGGGTTTTCAAGGCAAGAGATGAACGGAGGTGATTTGCCGTTGCCTGCCTCTGCGTGGGGACCCTGAACTTCTTCAGTCGTCTCCCATCCAAGTACTAACC